ATTTCATCTCCTACCACCATTGCCTTGTCATTATTAAGAAATACCACCGTAAATATCTTTGTCTTATCGGACTTCACGTTTCTTTGGTCTCTTCCTTTCTAGGGATGATATACAAGGCTAAGACTTGGTAGGAACAACATGTAATCTTTATTTGATCCCATGGTAGACGTTCGTGTTCACATGTGAACTTACTCGGTGGATCACATGAGCATGTGGTGTAATCTTCATGTCACTAGTTGTAATTTGCTGGTGTGGTGTTTTGATCTCCTTAACTTCTTCTCGTAAGCTCATTCTCTAATCTGAGATGGGGTGCAACTGCAAAAATGTCTTGATATTAAAGTAAGAAATGTATGTAAATAACATGTAAACAAATCGACAAAATGATTATACATGAGGTGAACATCTTATTTGTAGAGTGGCTAGACGCATATGCACTCCATGCGTGTTCTATTTCTACTAAAGCAATGTATGAGATCATTAATTTATAACTAGAAATTTATATGGTAATTAAAACTCAAATAGATGGTGACTCATATCTCATTTTAATTTAGTCCACATAACTTAAAACAATGAGAGTATAATGGTGCTTCTAGAACATGAATCTTCAAAAATACGTTATTACATTGGATTATCCTATTCTATGAAATGAAATGAATACCTCTCATATTTTATAATTTAAACATTATTGTATTTATTTTGTCCTTTAAATAAATTATGGACAATTATTAATATATTTGAATTGAGCCTTTTGGCAAAACATATCACCATTCCCTTCAATCTATTATCATGAAGGGGTCTCAATTTCAAAACTGTGACAAACAAACACATTTTTATTAAACTTTGGTGTAAAATCAATTTATAATGAACTTTCAAAATGAGAAGCAAAAAATAAAATCATACTATAATTTTTAAAAAAGAATAAAATTTAAAGATGTGATCCTAGTCGGTGGCTCAAGACAAGTATTATATATAATTTTTTTTTTATCCTAATCCGTTGTAATATGTTTTGAATTTGACAAAAGATGATATAAAAAAAGAATAAACTTTTGTGTATATTATAATATAACAAAAGATGATATAATTAAATTGAAACGATTAGAATAAATAGTCCCATCAAGTTTCATTGTGTGACACTTTTTAGCTGTCAGATGTATACACAACACAACAAACAAAATAACCCGCGTAGGCATAGCGCAAAGGTAGTATACACTACACCATAAACGACGCTGCGTTTTCAACGACTTTTTTCGTTCCATTCAGATTTCATAATCGACGACAGCGTCAGACTCACGGTGCCGCTTCGTGGTGCCGTCGTTACGCTTCTATTTCTTACCTTCCTTAAACGCCATCATATCGATCCTCTTTCATCTCAATCACGAAACCCTAATTCCGACAAAGTTATTTTCTCCTAAATTTTCAGGTAAAATTTGATGAGATCCCTATTTACGATCTGTTCTTTGAATTGTTTTCCGTTTTTCGTTCTGAATTGTAATTCTGGAGCTGCTGAGTTTGACTTTTTTTGTTTGATTTTCGTTTTCGGTGAATTGTGCGTTTTTTTTGTCTGATTTTGATGTTATAGGTGATTGATTTTTTGGGAACTCATGGGTGGGAATTTTGTAATTTTTCATTGATTATGTGATCATGAATCATGATAAGCATGCCGGGTCTCTTCCTATTAAATAATGAAATGTCCATGTCGTTGTTGGACACCTACAACTGCACCTACACTTGGGATTACATTTAATTTACTCATTTTAATCAAATTATTAGCGGTGTCGTCGTGTTAGTGTCAGAGGCATTTTTTGGCGTGTCCGTGCTTCATAGATCACAAACAGTAAGGGTTTGTTCGAATTCCTCTATGTTATAGCACCTCTGTTTAACAGCACTGATTTTGGGTTACAAGGATTTGGATGCTGGGGTCTGTTGGTGGGAGTGGTGTTAAATGGAATATTTGCTTGGTGGTTGGGAGTCAAGGGTGGGAGCTGGGAGTTGTTGATGAGGTTTATATGATGAATTGCTTCTTTTCTTTTTTTCTGGTTTGTTTTGTTGTTAGAAATTATTAGATTTAGAGATAGGAATGTTTCAAGGAGTGTAGGAGATGTTCTAAGGCTCTGTTTGGATATATAATCTAGTTAAGTATTTATCATATAAGTGATTATGTATGTATATGCTATTTTTTATAACAAAATATACAATAAAACAAATTCTTTTCATATTAGCTATATTAGCTATAAGCTATTGTCATAAGTTATAGAGTATTTGGAAATAAGTTGAAAACAACTTATGCCATAAATTCTCCCAAGCTCTTTCACAAGTGCTTATGCATTAATTCTCCCAAACTCTTTCACAAATGCTTATGCCATAAATTCTCTTAAACTGTCTTTCACAAATGGTTATGCTGGTAGATAAACTCATATAAGTCAATCCAAACATGCCTTAATTATTACTCTAATCATTTGAATATTTGAGAAAGTATCAGATTTGAACATATTGATAGAGAAGGCGTGGCTGTTGCTTTAATTCTTTGTTAAAGTGGTCTGAATATCTTATTTCCGTTCCTTTGTTGGGTCAAAATTACGGACAAGAAATCAGGGAGCTTTTGTTGATTTGTCTTTTTTGTCAGCCATTGATTTCTATTTAATCAGAATAGTTTTTCTTTCCTCTAATTAGATAACATCCATGCTTTCCTAGGTTTGTAATTTTCCTCTCACTTAATAGGCCACTTTTGTAGGATCAAGCGCTTACCACTAGGCCAAAAGCAATTGCTGTTAGTCAGGGCGCAACTATCTTTCCTTATAGTGAACCCCAAGGGGCCTACCTGGCCCACCTAACACACCTGTGTAGGTGCCCATGGGTGGGATGTTAAGCCCATCGAATCCCTCGTGGAGACGCTGAATTAAATAATCCAACAATTTCCTGGGGGGATTCGAAACCATAACCAGGCTCTGATACCACTTTGTAGGATCAACCACTTACCACTAGACTAAAAGCAATTGCTGTTAGTCAGGGCACAACTATCTTTCCATATTATAGTGAACCCCTAGGGGCCTACCTGACCCACCTAACACCTTGTGTAGGCGCCCATGGATGGGATGTTAAGCCCGTCGAATCCCTCAGGGAGACGCTGGATTAAATAATCTAACAACTCCAACATCGAAAAACCCTCTCATGCTATTTGGATCAATGCTGCTTACACATACATCGAAAAACCCTCTCATGCTATATGGATTTCAGTTGTGGTGAATTAATATTTTCTCACGGGGTCCGCCATCCGTCATAGACAACACTGCAGTGTATGTTTGTAGAGTGTAGCCAATTGTTATAGTGTACAATATTATGTCAGGATGTTTTCAGTGTCTTTGTTATAATATTGATAATTTGAGTCTAGGTTGTCAATACAGCACTATAGCACCGCTATAGCGGTACAGCTCCTCACTGCTACGCTATTGGCCTGCAAAGTGCTATTGATGATAGCGGTCATAGAGGCCGCTAATAGTGCTTTCGTAGCAGAGCTCTGGCAGCAGAATAGCAGTGCCATTGCGGTTTGATGGCCGTTATCTCAATTTGGGGAAAAATCATAAGCCCTAATATTTTGAAGCATAGTTTTCATATTTCTAAGACTATGTTGGTCTTTCCCATCCTTTTATTGGTCTATCACGTAACCCCATGTATTATGCTTCTTTAGTTCCACCTTTTTTTTTTCTTTTTCTACATTGTTCTCCATGTGACCTTTTCCATTATCTCTTGTATCCATCGTCATTTTCATTTGTTTTTTCACCGTTCACCTCTGCTTCTTCATTGTTTGACTCTGCTCTTCCCCGTTCTCTTTTGATTCTTTCTTCTGCTTTGCCTCTTCTCCTTGTTGTGTTTCACTCCTGCAACCTCTGTTATGTTTGCCTTGCCTTGTTTCTCTTTTGATAACCATGTCATCATCATCCTCTGTCATTGCAAGAGTAACACCAACCTCTAACAATAAAGGTTATTAATCTTGATATTGGTTGGTAGTGGAACTCTTATAAGGACCAGAGCAAGAAAAAAATTGTTTGTGATTTTTGTGAATACCATTCAACAGGAGGAATAACAAGAGCTAATAAACATCAGTTGAAGTTGCCGATAAGGGAAGAAGTAAAATCTTGTAGGACAATACCAGGTGATATCAAACATATACTGCAAGAGAGTTATGATAAAAAGCAAGACGTCAGTGATGCATATATGTTTGAGGTCAATATCAACGAGGATGAAGATGATGTTGTGTATGAATACTTTTATAATTTGATTTTGATGGGATATGTATTCTATTGCAATTTCTATTTTTAAGTATTTATGTATGTTGTTGGAATTTATAAGAGAATACCTAGAAAAACCATAAGAGAAGTTATTAAGAAAGATCTCGAGATTAACGATTTGGATAGAAACATGCTCCTGAATAGAAAAGTTGCTCCATGTCGCCGACCCCACTTAGTGGGATAAGGCTTGGGTGGTGTTGCTGGAATTTATGTTTTACTATGTACATTGTTTTTTAGTCTTCTCAATAGCGGTCATCCCGCTTATGCCCCTATAGCACTTTAGGGGTTCGGCGCTCGAGATTAACAACCTAGATTTTAGTGCACTATTGTATGCCGGCAGGGAGGGCTGTTTTGATTCAACTGAGTAGGTTGCAACCTCTTGACATTAAATCATCCTAAGTGTAAGTTATTAAGTACGTTACTATATCAAATCACTGTTTTATGAGTTTCTCTAGCCAGGTAAAATTCATCCTATGTTAAACGTGTGAAGTGTAATAGTTCTTTATATTAGTCAAAACTACTGAAAGCTTTTTGTACTTTCTAAATTATTGATTATGTGGAATATTTCTCTGCGGTTAATTTTTGGTGTCATTCAATGTAAAACCTAACAAGTATAAGTGTAGAATTCCATTTATAATTTCTTTCTTCTATATAATCACCATAAGGTGAATCTCATTATTATTTTTTCTTTCTTTTTCATCTAATTTCAGGCCAATGGCATCTTCTTCAGACTCATGGATGAAGGAATATAATGAAGCAATGAAACTTGCCGATGATATCAGTGGCATGATTTCTGAACATAATTCATTTCCTTCATCTGGACCAGAAACACAGCGTCATGCATCTGCTATAAGAAGGAAGATAACAATATTGGGGACCAGACTGGATAGCTTGCAATCCCTTTTGTCAAGGGTCCCTGTAAAGTGAGTATTCAGCTGGTGCTTATCCTGATAAAGAAAGGGCTGTGCTCTTACAGCATAGCAATGAGGACCAGAACTCAATGTCCTGTAGTAATATGATGTTTTGGGAAAAATGTTTTGTGGAGTCTTCCACATCTATTTCCTTCTTACCATTTTCACATCATTGTAGTATAAAACATTTTTGTGATAATACTGATGTCACTGTCTATTTCTGTGTTGCAAAGGTGTGTGATGTAATGCTACATGTTTTTTTGTCAATGATGAACAGATCTGAGAAGGAGATGAATCGTCGCAAGGACAACCTTGCAAATCTGAGGTCAAAGGTTAACCAAATGGCTTCAACATTGAACATGTCAAACTTTGCAAATAGGGATAGTTTGCTTGGGCCAGAAATAAAACCAGATGCAATGAGCAGAACCGTTGGCTTGGATAACAATAAACTTGTTGGTCTGCAACGGCAAGTTATGAAAGGTCACTTAATTTTGAATTGTTTGAACATTGAACTATATAACTTGTAGATTGTACTTTTGATAATGATTTGGGAAACTGTTTTCAAGCAGAGCAAGATGAGGGCCTTGAGAAATTGGAGGAAACTGTATTAAGTACGAAACATATTGCGTTGGCAGTGAATGAAGAGCTGACTCTACACACTAGACTCATTGTTTGTTCCCCTCTTATGTTAATTTTCCATGCTCATTTTTTGCGGTCCATTTTTTTTTCTTCTGAAAATCGAATCCTTTCTTTTTTTTCTTCTGCTAGGATGACTTGGACGAACATGTAGATGTCACAGATTCTCGGCTGAGGGTAAGATCTTACCACAACTTTTATATTGGAACCATTACTCTTTTTTAGGCATATACGAAAAATTTAACTTTAAGTTTGGAGAAGTATACAATATGCTTAATGAGTCTATATCATGTAGAATCTTCTTTGAATTCTATAATGTTCGTTTTCTTAGTTTCTATGCTCCTTAATTCTGATAGGTATTTTATCTGGAATAAAATTCCCCAAGTACTCACCAATTGAACATTTCAAATAGACGTACAATATTTTTGGTTAGTTGGTTTTTATTGTGGTATGGTATTTTGAAATAGAAACATCTATTTGGGGAAAATATAAGTACATTATTGTATGCCTTGTCATACGAGGATCTGTGGGGATATCTGCTAATGATGTTGGTTTTTTATTAGGAGATATAATTTAAGTAAATTTACTACAAACATAAATAATACATTTCCGTTGTCTAGAGTTAACATGTAACTTGTTAAATATCTGTTGATGCTTTTTGCAAGAGAACATGTAAAAGTATATCTATAACCTTCATGTTAAAGAAGGCGATGGGTTAATTTTTTAAAGCTTCAGATCTTTCTGATATAATTTCAAATAATTAAGTTGTTATATTACCCATTAAAGTTTTAAGTTTTAACTATAAAATAGATATATGTTAATATTGTAGAAGTTGCTTGCAACTAACTTTCTCTGTTTCTCTTCTGTTAACAGAGAGTGCAGAAGAACTTGGCAATTTTAAACAAACGCACTAAGGGTGGTTGCTCATGCTTGTGCATGCTATTATCAGTGATTGGTATAGTGGTCTTGGTTGTTGTCATATGGCTGCTCGTCAAATATTTGTAGTTATGAAAATACTTAACTCGCGAGCTGTTTCCCTTTTGTTTATGTTTCTGAATGTGTGGCATGAAACATATCATATATAACCTGGTTTCTTTGATTGTTCTTGGTGCTTTGCCTATGACATGGAATTTATTAAGGTCTTGAAAGTCTATGAATTGTAATTGTAGATCTTTCTTAAATGTTGATATCTTTGTGCTTTCCTTTGTTAAAGTATGGAGTTTTAAGTGAGTTGTGATAATGCCTCAAGTCACCTGTTAATATTAGTGAGAATAGTGAGGAGTATTTTATGCCATCCGTTGCTGTTCATGTACATGCTCGCAAGGTTGCAACCAATGTTTTAAAACCCGGCTTGGCCATTGACCTAGCATAGTCAAGGGGTAATTGGTCGAATAAGAAAGTCACTTGATTGAATCGAATGTGTCATTCGGATATGTAATTAATTGGGTTGAATTATATGACCTCAAAGTCATAAAAAAACATTAAAAAAAAATCATTGCACTTACAAAAATGTTAAAAATATCGAAGATAATTGATTTTCGTGTCTATAAGTAATTTCATGTTGTCTGCCGTAAGTAGCAAGTGAAGTTTCACTAGAGGACATGTTTTAAGAGGTGAATAGTAGGCATGGAATCTGTATAGCATTCAATGTCTTTTAAACTTTTTTATCAACAAATTTGATTTCCACCATGGAAGTCAAGCACAAATTCTCTATTGGAGTCTTTTATAGGCCACCATAGGCTGTGATGCCGCAATGCCATCCCTTGGTTGGTTTGAGCATTGCCATTTATATTAAGGGTATGTGAATCTGATTGGCCTTTTTGTCAAATAATATGGCAAGATTGACGATTAGTAACCTCTTTATCTATGTCCTTGAAAGTTTGAGTAACATTGTGATTTATAGTTTTGATTTTTGACAAAGAAGTCATGAGGGTATTGTTATCATCAATTTTTTGTTTTTCATTTCTAGCACACCAAATGACTCGTAATTTATAGCACAATTTTAAGCTTGTCAATGTTGTCACAAGACCACATGAAAATCAAGTTATCCTCCTCAGAAAAATCAAAGTTATGATCCACAATTAAATTTTATATAGCTTGTGCCTGATTAATTAAGCATACACTGGAACAAAGTTTCAGGTTTATTATCATAAATAGGGCAAGGAGAGTCTAAGGAACACCTATATGATTCAAGATAGTTTGTATGGAAGATCATACTATGCATTACTCGTCAAAAGAATAATTCAATGTGGACTGGTGTATTTAGTTCAACTGGATCATGTGAATTACTAAATAGCCAAACATGTGAATTTGACAAATAAAGGAAAAAAAACCTAATTTAATGCTAGCAAAATTCTAGGGTAGAGAAAGAAAAAAAACCCTAACGCAAGAGTAAAATATATGTAAGGGAAGGCTTATCTCCTCACAGAATAAAAAACCTAACGCAAGAGTAAAATATATGATTCAACCAACTATACGCTGATTTTGCTGAATAAACACTCGAGGTACAATGACTCCAGATTCAATTATCATTGACATCATCCATTAGGATAACTTTGGTTTTTGAAATTCTATTTCGAATCTCATGTGGTATCATGGTGTAAACATTGCATGTTACCCCCTCAATAGTAATATTATCTTTGATTTGAAGGTCAATATCTTAAATATGGACAAAAGACAAAAAGGGATTTTAACAACTCGAATTTATTTGATCATATATTTCAATTTCTACTTTTTTTTTTTAATTTTAACTTCTAAAATCTAATTTCATTTTATTAGTTTTTCTTAAAATAAAAAATAATAATTATAAAACGTAGTTAGTTTAATAAAAAAACAAGTATTAATTCAATTCATCAATTGTTTTCAATTTTGGTTGAATCATATTTGTTTTCACCCGTTTGATTATATGATTGATTTAGTAATCACTTTTGATCGATTATTTTTTAAATTTTCGATTTGACTATTTTATCGGACCAATATGAGCCCGTTTTCAAAAAAGTCTTTGCATCCTTACAATTAAGGGTGTCATCAGTTCGTTTAATCCAATTTTTTTGTCAAAAAAATTTTAAATCGATAATATCTCCATCAATTTAATTTGATTAAGTTTAGTGTTTTTTATAAATGGAATCAAACTAAACTAACTAGTTTATTTTGATTTGATTCAATTTGGTTGATTGACTTACCACTTTTATTTTTAAAATTATATTCGTCTTTATATTCTTTGCTATTATGTTTCACTATACTTTCTTCTATTATTGTTTTTAAATAATACATTTTATAAAATTCATTTCATCTATTTTATATTATATTTTTCAAACAACTCACAAGTTATATACTTCAGTGATATAAAACAATAATTCTAATTTTCAATAACATCTTGGTAAATTCTCAATACGACAGTAAATTGTGTATAATGCAAGTCACTTCCGACTTTCAAGTCAGTTTAATGCAAAGAAAAGTAATAAAAAGTAAAGATTAAAAATTGATATAAAAAAAAGGTATTAAATATTTAAATTTAGATTGATTTAAATTGATTTTTTTTGTAAATTAAGGCTTTATTTAATGAAACGACGTGTAATTTTCTCCTTAAATCCTGAATTTTTGTATCAAGATCAATCGAAAACAAATCTTTAAATCAACGTCACTTTTCCATTCCCACCTTCGGAAAAAACCTAGTAACTCTTTCATTACTATACTTTAATTCAACACCACTTTGAATCAATGAGCGCGATTCCAAAGGAATCAATTGAGGTAATTGCACAAACAGTTGGCATCCCCAATTTATCTCCCGATGTTGCCCTCGCCGTTACCCCCGATCTCGAATATCGCATCCGCGAAATCATGCAGGTAGAACCCCTCTCCCCCAATTTTCAAATTTTCATCAATGATTTTGAACTTTGAATTTTACTTGCAGGAGTCTATTAAATGTATGCGCCATTCCATGAGAACTTTTCTCACTGGTGACGATGTTGATAGTGCACTCGCATTGAGAAATTTAGAGGTAAATTGATTTTAATTACGTGTAACGGTTTATGTTGAATCGTTGCATTTAAGTTTTATCTTTGATTACATTTGTGTTTATGTATGTATGTATCAGCCGATATATCGTTTCGCGTCTAATGATAATCTGCTGTTCAAAAGAGTTCCCGGGCATAATGATTTCTTCTACATTGATGACTATGATGTGGATATTAAAGATGTAAGAATTTTGTAGGTACTTGTAGTTATGAACTTTTTTTTTGTGTGTGTTAATTTAGGTGGTTGAAGAATTGCTTGATATGATTTTTTTCTCTCTCTCTGATTTTCTTGATGTTGATAGTTTGTTGAAGAAGCTTTACCAAAAGCACCTCTTGATACATCAATTACTAGTCATTGGTTGGCTATTGAAGGTGTGCAACCTGCAATACCTGAAAATGCTCCAACTGAAGGTAATTATTTAGATTTAAGTGCAAGTTAATATATTATAGATTTAAGTGCGAGTTAGTATATTATTGGGTTCGCAAAACCTCATTTCCTAGTTTATATTACTGTTATTAATTTCTTCCTATTAAGCCTACAGGCTATAGTATTGAAGATTAGATTTAGCGTGAATTTTATTTTGTCATCTGAAATGAAAGATCTCAAGATTAGAGTGTCAGGGTAGTACTTATAGTAGAAAAGATGGTGGAAAATAGACTTAGGTGGTTTGAGTATGTATAGAGAAGATGTATAGATTCTGTTGTAAGAAGAGGAATTCAGATAGAGAGGAGTGAAACAACTTAGGATAGAGGAAGACCTAGAAAAGTTATACTCCCTCCGTCTCAAAATAAGTGTCATACTTGACACTTTCACATGAATTAAATAAATGTAATGAATGAAAGAGAAATAATAATGATTTTACCAAATTATCCTTATCAACTATTGGTGTATTCGAATTAGCATTAATGCAAAGTTTGAAAACAATAAATTAAGAAGTATTAATTAGAGGGTACAATGGGAAAATAAAAGTAAAAATTGCATTGGTAAGATAAAGTGACATATTTTGGGACAACTAATTTTTCTAAATGCGACAATTATTTTGAGATGGAGGGAGTAAGAAAAATTATTAAGAAAGATCTCGAGATTAACGATTTGTATAGAAGCATGGTCTTGGATAGAACATTATGGAGGAAGTTGATCCATGTAGCCGACCCCACTTAGTGGGATAAGGCTTGGTTGTTGTTGTTGTATTTGCATGATTTAACTCCTTTTTATTTTGTTCCACACTATTGGGAAGTTTTTTTCCAACTATTGACAATTTTGTTTCCGTTTGTTACTTGCAGCTACCCCTGAGATAAGAAAAACTGAATATAAAGAAGATGGGCTTCCTGTTGACGTTAAATTACCTGTTAAACATATAATAACGACAGAGCTTCAGGTATACACATCATATGGGATGCATTATTTTGAAGCAGTTTCTTGTTTACTGATCAACATTAATGAGCCGCCTTGTTTCATCTACAGCTTTACTATGAAAAAATAATAGAGCTGATTTTGAATAAGCCTGGGTCCATTCCTTTCAGAAGAGCACTGGTCACCTTGGCAACTGACTCAGGGCTCCATCCTTTAGTTCCTTATTTTACACGCTTTGTTGCTGACGAGGTATTGGCAAGCTTATGTCTATTATCATTTCGGTTAAATTTGTAAGGCTTAAAGGTGCATTTGCCCCCTGCCATTTCGCCGAGTTTTCCTCCCTATAACTTTTTATTTTGCGATTCCACCCTTGTAATACAAGACTTTTTAGTTTTACCCCCTATTGGCATCTGACTTAATAATGAATCTAAAAAAGTAATAGTATTGTCCCTACCATTTGGAAAATTCTGCTTTTGTCCCCCTGCCATTTGGAATGTGTTCTGTTTTTTTCCTAGCCACATCATGTAATTTGTACAGTCGGGGTGTAAAACTAAAACGTCTTACATTACTAGGGTGGAATCACAAAAAAGTTTTCAAGGGAAAACCAGAACTCGCCCAAATGACAAGGGGCAAAAACACCTTTAACCCAACTTTTTATATATATTGCGAGATCAACTTTATTAGTACTCATTTTTATCTTTTTTCCCATGTCCTATCAGGTGGCACGAAATCTACATAATTTAAATAATTTGTTTGCCTCGATGCGCCTTGTGCGGAGCCTTTTGCAAAATCCTCACATACACATAGAACTTTATGTAAGTACGGTTCTATTTAATCATCTTTGCATGTTTCCTTCTATAACAATGTCTATGAGGTTGTAAGGTGGATCACTGGTCTATTATATTGTAAATAAACATAATGACTCCATTGAAATTTGGGATATATCTGGATTTCTGTAGCAAAGACGGAAGGGCAGTTGTAGTTTACTGAAACTTGATCTTTAATACATTTCTTCTGAATTTTAGTTTCTATCTAATTTTTAGTCAAATTCTATCAGTTGCACCAATTGATGCCGCCTATCATTACTTGTATTGTTGCAAAAAGGCTTGGAAACAGACTGTCCGATAATCACTGGGAGCTTAGGGATTTCAGTGCTAATCTTGTTGCTTTGATATGCAAAAGGTGTGAACCTTCTTTCAATATATAATAAGAGTATAACTTAATACAGAGCTCATTCAATTATAATTTAACTTGATAGTTCTCAGCTCTTTTTACTTACTTAAATGGGAATTTGAGGCATATTTGAGGTAATAGTTCAAAAAAAAGGAATGAGAGGTCCATATGTACTGCTCTGTGCAATATACTTAACATTAAATGCTCGCTGTTGAGGCTATTACTTATATATATTATAATAGAAGGATTACTTTAGATGACAGGCAAATATATCTTGTTTTAAATATTTCATTTAAATTAATTATAATCAATTATATTATATATTGGTGTCGATGTCCTATGTTTTTTACGTTAGCGGTGTTGCCGTGTCCCAGTGTCAATGTCGACTCCATGCTTCATAATTGTGTGAGTGTTTTGGGCAATATGAAATTTATTAAAATTAAAACTATACAAGAATAGAAAATTCTAAGCTTGTATGCATCAATTACATTTTTGGTTTTCTTATGTGCCTAGTCTGAGTTTTACAGATTTGGGCATATGTATCACAATCTTCAGCCCCGTGTAACGAGGACATTTCTTCATTCTTTCTTGGACCCTACAAAAGCTCTGCCTCAACACTATGGTGCTATTAAAGGAATAGCAGCTCTTGGATCAAGAATGGTATACATCTTCTAGCCTGTGTTTTAATATTAGCAGAACTATTTGACAACGGCTTGTGGTTTTAAAATTGGTTCCATTAATTATATGTCGCTCTTCTGAGGTTAATAGCTCAATGAAGGTAGCTATGACTAGTTTTAATACAAGTGTACATTCTTTTAACCATCTGATTAGTTCTTATGGACAATAAGAAAAAGCCGCTCTTCCGTTTTCCCCTAAATGTGGTGTTATGTGTTACTATCTCAAATCTATACATCTGTTGTTAACACATTAGTCTTTACATCCTTAATTTGTTTTATTTGGAGTTCTTGGGTGGCCATTATGCTGTGTGATTTAGAACATCTAATTGTGTATGCCAACTAATCCCTAATGTTCCTTCATTTGAGTAGGTTCGCCTGCTTATAATTCCAAATCTCGAGCCGTATTTGCATCTTCTTGTGCCAGAAATGCAACTTGAGAAGCAAAAGAATGAAATAAAAAGGCAAGAAGCATGGCAAGTCTATGGAGCCTTGCTGGTGAGTTCTAACTTTTGTAATTGAGTTTAATATTGACACATTCCGGAAAAAAATACTCAGTTTTCCAATGATGTGTTGTCACAGTCATTTTGACAATGTGTTCTCAATTCTCATTGAATGTTGTGGCAGTATACCTAATTTTAGTTATGCATCAGTATATTTGTTTTTTCTGAACATGTTTTACTTAACTATTACTGAAGTCATAAACCTTTCAGTATGCAGTAGGTCAAAATATGCATGAAAAGGTTAAAGGAATCAGCAGTTTGCTTTCCCCTCCAACTCTTGCAGCATCAAGTGGCAATGGAAAAGCCATGATTGCAATGCCAGGTATGACTTTAACTCGTTTTTGTGATAAGAATTGTTAACCCCTAAAAGCTTAAGAGTTAACTTGATAGTTTAACAATCTTAATTTGCAACAGGTGTTACTGGTGTTGTGGTACCAATGAATTCCATGTCAGTTGACAACATGCAGGGGTCAGCAAGTGGGTTTCCCCCCATGATGGTCGGGCCATCATCCAAAGAAAGCTCTTCCATTCTAGCTCAGGCTTGGAAAGATGACATAGATGCAGGACTATTGCTGCCACCAGTGTTTGAATTATTTGGCGAAAGTTTGTTATCATTTTTACCAAAACCTGAAGCATCTATATTTTTGTAGTACTATTAGATTTGTTTTGCATGTGAAAGTGTATGTAATTCAGTCACTGTTATTGTGGCCGAATAATTTGGAAGCTAGTACAGAAATTACCTGTATTTTATGATCATAAAATTCATAAGCATTGAGTTTTGTCTTAGAGATGATTTATTTTGCAAAGATTCTCTTGTCTTTTGATTATTCTACTGTAAATTCAATAGCCAAATTATTCAAATTAAGAGCTTTCCAATTCTCTTTGCTGAGATAACTTGTGCAAAACAAAACAGTTAAAAAGAACTTTAAACCCCTCTAATTTGTATTTTCCTTTTAGCTATTTCAACTCGGCCCTAGTGTTTGCGGCAACATTTTCTTCCACCCTTGGGACTGGGTTAGGGTTAGCATCATCTCTATTTTATGATAGAAATACAAGATTTCATTTTGAGAGAGAGAAATAAATATAAGTTTAGAAAAATTAATGATGATGAAATCCATTTAAGTGTGGGATTTTATTATAATATTTACCTTTTGTGTTTATCTCCTTTAAAGAGCTTTCACTTTTCCTTTTTTGAGAAACAAAAAATTTCAACATTCCAAAGCCACCCGATTAACTCAAAATTGTTAATTTACTCTCGTATTAGAATTTTAATTTTAAATAATATAAGCAATATAATAAATTTATATTGAATACTACAATTTAATATTTTGAAGATTTGTAGACATGCAAATACTATTTATTTTGATGTAAAAATAATGGTTTTGTGAGGGGCATGTTAGAAACTGATATCTTATTTTCAATAAAGGCCCAACAAGAGTGGATGATTAATCTATTATATATATATAAAAGAGAAGTATTTGGAAAATTCAATTCTAACCCTCTGATTCAAATTTTGAACATTTTTAATTTCAAGGATATGACCGTCTATTTTAAACTTTATTGCAATATTATACATTTGACATTTATATTATACATTTGACATTTATTGTGTCCGATGTGTCATGCTATGAGTTTTTTGAAATAATTTTGATTTAATTTTAAACTATTTGGAGTATTTAAAATTTATTTGACATTTAACATTTATTGGGTCTGATGTGTCATGCTATGAGTTTTTTGAAATAATTTTGATTTAATTTTAAACTATTTGGAGTATTTAAAATCTATTTGACTAAAATTCAAATTTTACTACAATTAAAGTTTATCATTAATGCAGCCACTTTTTATTAAGTAATATCAATATACCACCAATAGAATAGAATACTAAAGTTATATTAGTTTTACAATGTATAAGAAATATTTTCAATATACTTGCCACTTTACATTTTATCTACTAATTTCTCAATCACTTCTCTATTTTCAAGAAAACAATTGAAATATATTAAGCATGCACACAACTGAATCATCATGTCTATATTTTCTCTGATTCCCTTTTGTCTCTCTCTCTCAATCAACCGTCGTCTGTAATGACAAATTAATCTATATAGCAGTATTTAGAGACAAGTACAAAAAAATCTATATAGCAGTATTTAGAGACAAGTACAAAAATGGATGGATATGGAAATAGAATTCAGTATGATTCATATAAGTTTCTTAATAGAAAAGAAATACAATGAGTAAATAGAATAAGGAAATGTTCGCTCACCATATATATATATATATATATATATATATATATATATATATATATATATATATATATATATATATATATATATATATATATATATATATATATATATATATATATATATATATATATATATATATATATATATATATATATATATATATATATATATATATATATATATATATATATATATATATATATATATATATATATATAGAGAGAGAGAGAGAGAGAGAGAGAATGATCTCATACAAATTCACACTCACACATTTAAAGCTATCCACTACTAATATGCTCTCACTCACTAACAAACTGGGTCCACATTGGATGCTTCTTTTTGATTCTATTGCTATGCCTTATTTCCTTATCATTTGCCACGTCATCATCCAATTCCTCATTCACATCATTTTTATCAATTAGGCACTTCTCACCCATAATATTACCCTCCCTTTCAAGAGCAATCTTGTCCTCAAGATTGAGGTTCGGGTAACTCTGTAGCATTTCTTCTCTATCTTCCCAAGTTGCTTCCTGACTTGACATATCTTTCCATTTCACCAACACTTGGTCCACCACTTGTACTCCTTTACGAATGCTTCGAGTACTCAACACAACTTCTGGTTGAATCACTAGTCCTTGTTCCACTGTAATTAATGTCAATGGCAAGTATGGTACAACAGTGAGGCCTTTGAACAGTTTCAGTTGGGATACATCAAATACAGGATGTATACGAGCTGTCTCGGGCAATTAGTGCTTATAAGCTACAAAACCAATTTTGTCAATGATATTAAATGGACCAAAATATCGCATCCCTAACTTATTGTTCTTTCGCAACTCTACCGAGGATTGTCTATTGGTTGCAACTTGACTAAAAGTTGATCACCAATCTCCAAAGAAACATTGTTTCTTTTATTATCAGCATTGACTTTCGTAACCTGTTGAGCTCTCCTCAAATTCTCTTTCAACTCAAGTAGAATTTTGTCCCTTTCAATTAACTGTTGTTGCAGTTCTACCGGATCAGTAGTGTTAACAATGTAACGAGTTAGCATAGGAGGATCTCTCCCATATAAAGCTTTGAATGGAGACATTCCTAACAACGTCGTATTATACCACAGTTCCGCCCAAGAGAGAGCTTTGGACCACGCCTTTGGATTCTTGAAAGAAAAATACCGCAAATACATTTCTAAACTCTTATTGACAGCTTCGGATTGGCCATCCGTCTGAGGATGATACGCAGAGTTCATCGCTAATGTTGTGCCCTGTAATTGGAATAAATGCTGCCAAAATTAACTAGTGAATACTTTATCTCTGTCAGACACTATTGACTTAGGCATTCAATGTAATTTAACCACATTATGCATAAATGTCTCGGCAACCGTCTTACTAGAATAATCTGATTTCAAGGGTATGAAATGAGCATACTTACTTAGTCTGTCAACTACTACCATGATAACAGTAAAACCAGAAGAAAGAGGTAAGTCAGTAATAAAATCCATTGCGATATCTTCCCAAACTTGCTCCAGAATCGGCAATGGTTGCAACAGCCCAGCATAAGGCTTATTGACAAACTTAGCTTGTTGACAAATGATACAAGCTGCAATGAATTTCTGCACATGTTGTCTCATATTAGGCCAATAAAACTGAGATGCAACTCTTGCAAGAGTTCTGGTCACTCCTGCGTGTCCCCCTATATGTGTGTCATGATATTCCGTGAGAATTTTGTGAATCAAACTACTCTCAACCGGAACTACCAATCTGTATTTCCAATACAATAAACCATCCTTCACAGTATAATTACCATTGTTCACATTATTGTTAAGGCATTGTTGAACAATTAATTGCAAATACGCATCTTCAACAATTGCTTTCTTTAATTCATTGAAAATTCACATTGCGGTGATGATAATGACAAGGACATCATTCTGGATAATGCATCCGCAACTTGATTATCATTTCCTGGCTTGTATTCGATTTGAAAATCAAAGCCAATGAATTTATGAAGCCAAGCTTATTGCTCAGGGGTTTGAAGAGATTGATCTAACAGACTTTTCAAGCTCTTTTGGTCTGTTCGCAGGATGAATTTGTGACCAAGTAGATAGTGTCGAAACTTAGCTAATGCTGCTGTGATTGCATAAAACTCTCGTGTATACGCCGATTGTAGCTGCATTCTCAGATCCATCTTCTTAGAAAAGAAAGTTATGGGGTGCCCTCCTTGACTTAGCACTGCTCCCACTCTTGTACCAGAAGCACCTGTCTCAAGGATAAACACTTACGAAAAATCTGGTAACACTAAGACAGGAGCTGAAGTGATTGCTCTTTTTAACTGCGCAAAATCTTTTTGTGTATTTTCATCCCACATAAAAGCATCTTTCTTCAAAAGATTAGTGAGAGGGCCGGTCATGGTCGCATAAAACTTAATAAATCTTCTATAATATCCGGTGAGCCCAAGGAATCCCCGTAGCTGTTTCAAGTTTGTTGGTATAAGCCAATCTAACACCACTTGAACCTTTGTTCTATCCATTGGTACCTCAGCACCAGAAACTATGTGACCAAGGTACTCTACTTCAATTAAGCCAAATAAACATTTGGAGAGTTTTTCATATAACGCATTTTGACTTAAGATTTGAAACACAGTTTCTACACATTGCAAATGTGAATGCCATGAAGGGCTATAGATTAGGATGTCATCAAAGAAAACAAGAACGCACTTCCTTAGCAATGGTTGGAAAAGCTGATTCATAAGTCTTTGGAATGTAGCTGGGGCGTTGGTAAGCCTGAACGGCATCACTAACCACTCATAATGGCCTTGATGCATTCTAAAAGCCGTTTTTTTGTCTGTCCTCTTGCCTGAGAAGTATCTGATGATAACCAGAACGAATGTCCAACTTAGAAAAATATTTTGCTCCATGTAATTCATCAAGTAATTCATCCACAGTAGGCATGGGAAAATTATCCTTGATAGTTATAGCATTCAAAGCCCTATAATCTGTATAACATCTCCAAGTGCCATCTTTCTTCTTCACTAGAATAATTGAGGATGAAAATGGACTAAGACTTGGTTGGATTATACCTTCTTCAAGAATGTCCTGCACCATCTTTTCAATTTGTTATTTCTGGCTATGTGGATATCTATAAGGTCTCACCTTCACAGGTTGTGCTCCTTCTTTCAATAATATCTCATGACTCAATTCTCTCATGGGAGGTAGTCCTTTAGGTATTTGAAATATCTCTCTGTATGTATGCAATAGTGTACTCATTTCAGGACCAAGATCCACGAGTCTGCCATTCTAATTATCCTCTATAACCACAGGATCAATCTTTTGGATAGTAAACAATTCACTAATTGCATTCATCTGGTTTAATCTCCTGAAAAGATTCAGCTGCGCAACAACCGGTTTGTTA